GCTGGTGCCAGGGAAGGAAGTCATTTGGAGCTCTTTTCTGATTTTTCATGAATTATAGTTCCTGAGATGAAATCTAAAACAAAGACAGTCCATTTAAATGTGGGCTGCTATTGTTAGCATCTAACTTATAGCATTTCGGAGATAAGTGGGATATTGCTTTTCTTACCTTCCAGATTGGAGAAATTTGGTTTGTACCTCAGTAAATGTTTGCTGAATGAATCAGCGAGTCAGTTTCAGGATAGTCTTCACTTCAGCTTCGTCTTTCCAGATCATGGAAAGAAGGATGAATGGCTTTTGCTTCCCCCCTTCCCCTTACCAAATCCAAGCTTCTTTCAGAACCAGCTAGAGCTCTGCTTCTTCTAGGCAGTCTTCCCTGACAGCTTCTGCTACCTCTCTCCTCTGAACTCTCATGTCAGTACTTGATGCTTTGCATGGCTGCCCAATTTATGTGTTTATATCTCATCACTCCACACCCTGAAAGAGAAGTTATGGCCAAAGCTTTCCATCATTTTGTGCCTTCCACACATCAGGCACAAGAACTTAAGGAAACTATTGAACTAAATGTGTCTGCATGAAGTGTTGCCACCAGATGGCACCAGAGTCTCTGCCATTATTTTGAGAATCTGACGTAGTGACTTTCAGCCACTTATTGCCAAGCTAGCCATTAAAGATGCCTTCTTTAATGAAGAGGCTTCAATTTATTAAGCAAAATGCCAATACATACTACAGTAGAAACAAATAAATTAACCAGGCAAAGTTGTCACTCTCCATTTTCACATGTTAGACTTGTGTTCACTCAGCCCCTCTGCCCTGCCTCTTTTTTCAGGCACTGAGCTCTCACCCCAGCAGCTGCTTTCTAGACCCTGAACAGAATCTAGCTTTCAAGCCTTCCCAATGGAGAGTGCTGTGATACCTGAAAGTGGCCTCAGGTCCTTGTGTTTTTAGGTCATTTATTTTTTTCTTGGAAAGGACAAATTAAACATTATAATGAAACTAGAGGCCTGATGCCCTGAACAAAGGTTCATGCAAGAATGGGCCTTCCTTCCCCTGGCTGCCAGCACCCCCTTTGCTCCAGCCTTCTGCCTTTGTTCAGGGCTGGAGCCGCCTTTCTGCCTTCCCACGCTGCCCAGAGGCCCAGAGCTACTGGGGCGGTGAGGAATGCCTGCATCGTTGCCATGGAGACAATGCAATTGTCCCACCCGCTCAACACCTGTGTATACAAATTAACCCACCATCTTTGTTGGGTTAATTTGCATACTCACTCCTGATTGGCTGGTGGGCGTTGTGAAGTTATGGTCAATTTGCATCTTCCTCTTTTATTAGATTCTATAACCCTGCCACTTTTTAAATTGATTTGCGAGAGGGGAAGAGAAACATCAATTTGTTGTTCCACTTATTTATGCATTCATTGATTAACTCTTGTATGTGCTGTGACTAGAGATTGAACCTGCAACTTTGGCATATTGGGACAACACTCTCACCAACTGAGCTACCCAACCAGGGCCTAACCCAGGGGTGGGCAAACTTTTTGACTCGAGGGCCACAATGGGTTCTTAAACTGGACTGGAGGGCCGGAACAAAGGCATGGAAGGAGTGTTTGTGTGAACTAATATAAATTCAAAGTAAACATCATTACATAAAACGATACGGTCTTTTTTTTTTTTTTTTAGTTTTATTCATTTCAAATGGGCTGGATCCGGCCCGCGGGCTGTAGTTTGCCCATGGCTGGCCTAACCCCACCATTTTTTAAAAATATTTTTTAATTGGTTTTTAGAGAGAGAGGAAAGAGAGGGATGGAGAGATAGTAACATCGATGAAAGAGGAACATCATTGACCAGCTGCCTCCTGTACGACCCCTACTGGGGATCGAGCCCACAACCTGGGCATGTGCCCTGACGGGGAATTGAACTGGTAACCTCTTGGTTCCTGGGTCTGTGCTCAATGACTGAGCCGTATTGGCTGGGTACCCCACCATTTTTAATATGTTGATTATTTATGTTACCTCATTTGCAGTCTTTGTTCCTTTATATATGTGACTTTATGCAGTTTTGATCATGTGAAACCATAATAAGAGTTCTCATTTACTGACTGCTTTTTATGAGTTATGTACTGTGCTTATCATATATATATATGTGTGTGTGTGTGTGTGTATATGTGTGTGTATATATATATATATATATATATAAAACTCTTATTTAAATGTAAGAGGTGATATGTTGAATATTTACATCATATTTATTACATTACTTATATTGAATGCTTACCTTGTTAGGAACTGTTCAAAGAGCTTTTCATGCATTAACTTCCTTGACCTATACAACCTTATGAGAATAGATATGTTAACCCCATTTTACAGTTCAGAAAACTGAGGCTTATCAGGGTTAGTGACTTGCCTAAGATAACACAGTAAACAGCTGTATTAGGATTCATATTTAGATCTCTTTAAATTCATATCTAAAATCTCTGGTCATTTCAATGTATCATTTGAAATTGTTCATGTGTTCTTTAGTGATTTCTACTTGGACTTCAGAAAGGGTCTAAGGATTAATAGAATCTTTAAAATTGGGTTTGATTTATGTTTTTCTCCTGCTGCTAGTCTGTTAGCTCCTTGAGGACAGGGACTAGAGGTCATGTTTATTTCTGCATTCCTCTTCCCAGTAAATGCAAAGTAAATATTTGATGGATGAATCAATGAAACATTTTTTATTACAGAACAGTTTGTCCACTGGAGCTAAACACTAAGTACCGAGAATTGCAGTGGAGAAATACTGGGTATTTTATTTTATGAATGGCACCACCCAGGAGAACGGAAAGCTAATGCTCAAAAGCCTGAACTCCTCAATGGCATTTAAGTTATAGATTATATAAGGGCAAAATCACAAGACACCAGGGTTAGGGGTTGTGCTGAGAGCTGACTGGTTAGAGGTGAGATAAGGGTAATAAATCATCTCTTTAGATTTTGAAGACAGTGGAAAGGTCTTTTCCTGCTTCCCTCTGTTTGGTCTCCTGGGAAAGTAGCCAGGGTCATTCCACCTTATGGCTCAGGAACTGAAACATACCTTAGGTTAAGATGTTATCTTTAGCCTGCCAGAGGTCTGTGTGAGTGTGAGCATTGGTTAGGTTCTGGCTACTATCTTCTGCCTCAAGAGTTGCTGATTGTCTGGGGAAAGGCTAGGTCTCCGAGGGGTATATATAGAGAGAGGATTATGATTTCTAGAGCTAGGACTTAAAACTAAAAGCTAGGTTTAGTCGAAGTCATAAGGACACTTGGTTTTACTATGCCAGGAAGTCTAGGATACAAGACTGCTTAATAGAGTCTTCACATGTTAGAACTTGAAATGGTTTGGAAAATCAAGTCAAACTCTTCCTTCAAGGAGGAAGGCCCTCCATAGGATGACCCAATGAGTTGGAGGCATAACAGAACTTAGAATCCACGTCTACTGGGCCATCTTGTTTCAAAGAGCCTATTCCTGTCCCTAAATTAATTCTTCCCTTTCCCCCTTCCCCTTCCGTTTCTTCTCCCTTTCCCTTCCCCCTTTCCTCCCTTTCTTTCTTTCATGCTATGAGTTGAATAGCTTTGCACTCTTAAAGTTTCAAGCCTGAAAGTTACAAAACACAGCAAGATTTTTCACTCCTTTCACACTGATGCCTAGACTTACTCCTGATTATGTCTTTGTTGAAGCCAGAATAGAATCCAGGAAGAAAGCCTTCATTAAGTGCTAATTATCCTTTTTCTTTTTCTTTTTCTTTTTTTTAACACCTGCTACTCACCTGAGACAAGTGACATGTAGTGAAAGCTGAGTGATTGGGAGAGAGTTAGGAGGCATTGGGGAGCAAAAAAATGGTGATTAGTCCAAAGTTCTGACTTAGAGTTGTATTTTACCTTTGGAACTCTTCAGCTAAGTCTGAGGTAGATATCTGAAGGAGGGAAAGGGAAACAGATACGCTTTGAAACAGAAATGTGCCTCCCTCTTTGGGTTCTAGTCTTGCTTTCCTCTTTTGAAAAAAATATATTTCAGAGAACAAGGGAGAGATAGAAACATCAATGATGAGAGAGAATCATTGATTGGCTACCTCCTGCATGTCCCCTACTGGAGATCAAGCCTGTAACCTGGGCATGTCCCCTGACCGGATCGAACTGTGACCTCCTGATTCATAGGTTGATGCTCAGCCACTGAGCCACACCGGTGGGCTGCTTTCCTCTAATTTATCTAAGTTTATTGAGGATCTCTGACGTGCCAGACAGTTTTCTAGAACAGGAAGCAGATGAATACGGCCTAATGACTGTTCTCAAGGAGCTTGCATTCAAGTAGAGAATGAATTTGAATGCAGTCTTGTACTCTAGCACTGTAATGATGGTAGAAAAGAAAATGCTTTGGAGCATTAGAAACTCAAGATATGTTCTTCCTAGAAAAGAGACTAAAGGCTTCATGTATCTCGGAAGTGATGCTACGAGGCAGAAAAGATGTTTTAGCCTGAGCGGGACAGCCTGACTAAAAAGCATGGGGAGTGGTAGAAGGTGACCCTTGGAATAGTAGTTTGGGGCCATATTTGGGTGATTTGATTGCCTGTCTAAGGAGTTGGATCTTATCCTATATGTGGGAGACCATTAGAAGGTTTTTAAGCAGGGGAATGACATGTTCAAGACTGTATGTTAGAGATTCCTTTCCAGAGCTCCTGGGAGGATAGGTGGGAAGGGGAGACACTGAACACAGGGAAGCTTAACAAGAAAGTCGTCATAGTCCGCCAGCCAAGGGACAGCAAAGATTCAAATGGAAAGGAGAGAATATATACAATAAATGGTTGGGTGAGGGATGAAAGGGAAGTGTCCAGCATGGCCCCAGGTTTCCAACTTAGGTCCCTAAGAGGTGCCTTCATCCACAACTGGAAATGTAGGAGAGAATCAGGCTGAAGTGGAACACCTGAGATGCACTCTGGACTTCTGGGGAGAGCTGCAGAGGGAGCTGGCTGGAGCTGAAGTGCTTGTGTTTGTGTTTCAGATGGTGACCCTCTTTCAGATGTGGGTTGTTCCCCTCTATTTCACAGTGAAGCTGCACTGGTGGAGGTTCCTAGTGATCTGGATCTTCTTCTCTGCTGTCACAGCCTTTGTCACCTTCCGAGCCACCCGAAAGCCACTAGTGCAGACAACCCCAAGGTGAGAATTTAGGTGGAGAATTGAGATTTCCTGAAGCTAATGGCTTGGGATGCATGGGAGGGGGGTGGGTTTAGATGGAAAACTTTGCAGTTTTTATCTGCCATGTTTACTTAGCACTGAGCTCCACCAAAACAGGCTGATTGAGAGACCCGCCTCCCATTCACAGATTTAAAACCAAATATTTACCTATAGCTTACCTTATAGTTTATTTCAAGGTCTGTTTACATTAAAAGCAAACGATAGAGTAAGCAAATCCTGGTAATGATTGTAGTATCATTTAAAATGTTATTTTCTTCTGTGAACCCTTCTCTGAACTCTAAGTTAGATTTTTCTGTTATATTTTTTCATAGTGCCCTGCAGTTTTCCTTCATAGAGCTTATCACAATTTATAACTAAATATTATATTGAGAGTCTATCTCCCCACTAACCTATATCTATGAGATAAGAACCACATCCATTCTGTCTGTTACTGTATATCCAGGCCCTACCATAGGGCGTGGCACATAGTAGCCTACTTTATGAATTTTTGTTGAATGAATGAATCTCAGCAAATTTGCAATTTTCCAACAAATACTTCCTTTGAGGTTACAAAGCACCTCCTGCCTATATATTTTTTTGTATTTTATCCAAATGCATTTCTTATGTGATTCTCCAACCAGCTTGTGAGGTCATTTAATATCTGTACTTAACAGGAAAAAAAGATTCATTCATTCATTCATTCATTCATTCAGCAAGCACATGCTACGTGTCAGACCCTGTGTTGAGTGCTGGGGATACACAACTGGATAAGACATGGTCCCAGCCCTCCAGGAGTGCTTGGTTTAAGTGAGGAGATGGATGAGAAAGCAGCTGTGTCAGTGTAGTTGGTAAGTGCCGTGAGAGACGTGTACAGGTCCAAGAGAGCCTAACAGAGGAACTGGCCAGCCTCAAAGCTGCGACCACCTGATCCAGAGTCTTCCAAGTTGCAGGTTGCTCTTTTTCCCATGCCTCATATGTTCCACTGTCCTGCAAGCCTTTCTTTGGCCGTCTGAGTCTGGTTATACAAAGTAAAATTTATCTTCATGGTGAAGTTGGTGATCCAGAGCCCCTCTTTGTAACATAAAGTAACATAGAGTTTACTTTATGTTAAGGGCCATTTCATAGAAGATACAGGCTCAGTAGCCAGATGGATGCATATTGGAAACACCAGCTCTGCCACTTGTTAATTATATGACTTGTTTGACTTCACCTTTCTGAGCACTGAATTCTTTATCCCTAAAAGTGTGGTAATAATTGCTACCTCAAGTAGGGCGATATCAAGACAGAGTGTAATAAAGCATATTAAATCACCAAGTAACAAATAGTATAAACTTCTATTTAAAATTACTGAAAATAGTCCATAACATGGGAGGTTTTTTTATATTTGATAGTGCTTTATAATTTCAAAGCACTTTCATAAACATCCACATATATTCACACAGCATTTATTGAGCTATGTGCTGGTACTACATATATCAGGAAACAGGCTCTGTATAAACCAGTGAAAATTACTTGGCCATTAAAAAGAATGAATTTTGCCATTTGTGACAGTAGTGAAATTGTCTCAGAGATGTTGTTTGACTTACCTCAGGTTACCCAGCTAATAAACCTCATTAAATCCAGATTCCAACTAAAATTCTACATCTTTCTGTTGTGTCTCATGATTAGTGCAAACCCTGGATAATGGACCTGTGTGTGGTCTTTGAGGAGGGCATTGTAAGGTGTTTGTTTGGGGCCTTTCCTTTGCCGGAGAAGCTATCACCCTTGAGCTTTCTTCTTGGGCCCCAGCATGGTTCGCAGTAACCTAGTTGGCTCTCTGGAGCTAAATAGGCTTGTGCTAGTTATTCAAGCAAATTACTAAATTGCTCATAAGCTCTCATTACAGATAGAATAGTGACTACTAATATTAGTGTTTAAAAGGCTCTGGTACATTCTGGTACCATCTTTTCTATCTGAACCTAGCTGGACTCAACCAACCAGATTCCACACTGCTTTTCATTGGTTCCGAGGAAGCACTGCTCCTCCCTCAGGAGCATTGCACAACCCCGCTCCATGCCACCACCACCACACACATACATCTAATTCAGAGTTATTCTTTGAGTGCCTCCCTAAGGATCCCTTTTATTCCAGAAAGAAATATTTTCAGAAGCAGAGTCATTAGACATCATTCGTTTCATTATTGGCCTGTGGATAGAAAGAAGCAAAGCAGTATTCAGATTAACTATGCCAAGGTATAAAAGTAGCTAATTCTACCTCTTATTCATCTTCCCTTGAATTCTCTTTCTTGACAAGAATAACTAGCCTTCCCTCGTTCCTTTCTGAGCATAGTTGTAGTTTCTAGTTTTCACTTCTGATCCAACTAATCTGAATTTGAGGCTGAAACCTTTTAATGCTCTCTTTTATTCTTTTGTCTGAGACCAGGAAGATACAAAGTACTGGCTCCTTGATATGTGGAGGTGTTACTGCAGTTAAGGTGTTACAGCTTTGTACAGTAACTAAAGTTTCTCAGTAAGTCCTAAGCAAAGAGCCTGGTGTCCCCATTGATGTGAGAATAAGGGATCTGGTGGTCCAGAGGTCTCTAGATAGAGTTTCTATGTCAGCTGTATTAATTTTCTCTCCTTTCTCATCCCTACTTCATTTATCTCTTCTTCTGGAGAATTCTCTTGTCCTTTCATTTGGGGCATTTGTGGTTGTTTCTTTGTCTCTTTATTTTACTTGTGTGTTTGGGTTTGTGACTATCTATTGGGTAGATCTGCTATGCCTCTCAGTCTTCTGGTGCAGGATAGTGTCAAATGCTCTTTCTGACTAATTATATCAGGCAAAGACTCAAAGCCTCCAGAGACTGCCTCTGCCTACAGACTGATAGGATTCGGCTTCAATTGCCCCCAGGCATTCGTCCTTAGGTGTGGGAGAGTTTTTTTCAAAAGGGAAGGGCAATTGCTTTTGCCCAGAGGCTAATTGTTATTTTTAATATCTTCAGTAGCCTCAGGGCAAGGTATTTTCCAATAGGATGGGTCAACTGCCTTCCCCCAGGCAAGGCCACTTGTATATAGCAAATGTCTGTGTGGGAAAGATGTCCTCCACTACATAAGGGAATGACTCAGCACAGGAAACCGGGTGTGTCTGCCTTCTAGCTCTAACCCCTGAGTCCCCAGTTCTGGCTTCTGCTCACACAGCTCTAGTCCACACTGCCCTCCCTCTGCCAGAGCACAAGGTGGGTGGCTCCACAGATAATTTTGTGTGGTGGCCCTTTAAGAGAGTGCCCGAATTTTCAGCCATTACTCCCTGGCAGACAGCAACCCTGCTGCTTTTCCCAGCCAGATGTTATATGGGTACTCTTTTCTGTTCTGGTGCTCTCTGCAGGGGGGCCCAGCTTGGGGATTAGTTCCCAGAGTTCTCAGTGTACACACCCCCCCCCCAGCCCCCAGCTGAGATATCTCTCCGGAACATCGGAACATCGGTTGCTGTCTGTGGGCACCCAGCCAGCACTTTCGGTCCTCGGGTATCAGGTTTTGCTCTCGTGAGTTTTCC